CAATAATTAAGAAAGCTTGTGCAAGCTTCTTGATAGACAGAAAATATTTACTCATTTACATAATTTACACAGCCTAAAGTATTATTCATTCCTACTACTACTGAACAAGTAGTGCAGCTTATGCAAATACTGAATAAAAATACAAGTGTTAAGCTAATTTACTTACTCTCTCGAATGTTATCCCAGTTCCACTGATCACTCTTAAAGAAAGGGTGATGTTTTATTTCTTCTACCCCATTTCTCCCAAGTCGCACATCCCTAAACATAGCAATTAACCCAAATTCATGTTAGGAAAAACAGCACTTCATTTTCCTTATTTAAATGTTGACTTGCTCCTAATCACAGCAAAGAAACTTTCAATAAGGAGATGAGGCTGGTCTAGGTAAACCACAGTAATGGTCATTAAAAAAGAAAGAAAAATGAAAAACAAAAAACATCCGCCCCCCCCGCCCCCTGATCTGCAGTTTTCCATACCAAATGGTATCAGCTGCTGAGCACGCACTGTGCCTGGCCAAACCGGCCAGAGCTCGGAGTCTGCCGCGGCGGGAGCAAAGCAAGAAAGGAAGCACAGAGGCAAAGACAAAAAAAAAGGAAGAAAGAAAGAAAGAAAGAAAATGAAGAAAGGCCCTAAGAAAAGCCCTAGAGGGGGGAAAAAAAACCTGCAGAAGTTCGGTGTCTGCCAAACCGCGTGACAAACCTTGAGAGGCAAGTGAACGAAGGTCTAACTTACTACGCAGAACACTTTTTCAAAGCTTAACTGAAACGAATATTTTAAGGTTTCTCTCCTCTGTCCCTAGAACCAGGCCTCGCGTATCTTTTGCCAGTATTCACCATGAAGTAAATCCTCAGTGCAACAAGAAACTTTTCAGGAGAGACTTCTTTCGGTGATACTAAACTACCTAGAAGAACGTACAGACAACGCGCACAACACAACTACCAAGTCATAGCGCAAATGCTTCCTCCTGCTTGTCACTTTAAGTGCTTCAGCAGCCATCGTGCACACAGAAAGAAGGCATCTGTTTTAAATAAATCGCTCGAGCACTGTATTAAATATAAACAGGAAGACACGCACACGTAGTGAATGCCGCATTTACGTTATGAAAATCTGCTCATATTTCCTCCCTACCGTTCAGCTACTAAGGGTAGCAAAGCGTGTCTTTCATGAGGAACCACAGTCTTGTTCAACAGACCAAACAACCCCTCTTTGAACACAAAATCAGTATAGGGCAATTTTTTTTGTTTTTTTTTTTGTTTTTTCACTCCTGCTCACAGGAAAACACAAGAAGGTATCGTCAGTGTACCGTTAACTGTGGGCCTGCAGCATTCCTCTTTTAAGTCAGTCCGATAAGTCTAAGAGATTCTCTGCTTTCTGGCACTGAAAAATTTAAGTGTTTAGGTCAAGAACAAGTTTACATAGCTTAATACCAATAAACAGCTCAGCTCCACAAAGGGAGACCTCTATGATCTGTTTATAGCCAAAATAATACTCCTTTCTAGTTTGCAAGCTAGAACTGTAAATCAGTACCGCAAAGCGAATGAAAAAAGTTCAAATGTTTTAAGCAAACTTAAACTCAGGAAATACAAGTCTATTTCATAGAAAACAAAAATGTGGTCCCTGTCTTTAGGAGCTTACAATTTGTATTTCATGCTACGCTTGGAACAATTTGTTTGGCACCAAGTGCATTGCTAACAGCAACTGTCCGAACTGCGCACAGAAATACAATACAGAGCCTGCAAAAACACCCCAAAAGGAAAACTAGAGAGCAGGAGATTCTGCAGAAGAGATATGAACAGAGATTAGCACAAATAGGCGGAAGACATTCATTTCTGTAATGTAAATGTGCTAATACCACCTAAAAAATAAGTAGTACCGAAACAATATATACACATACCTGTCAGTTAAAAAGGCACAGATAAGATTCTTTGCATGCTTAGAGATTTCCACATCATCCGGGAAATGTAATGAGTTCTTGTGATCCATAATTTTACTGTATGTTCCTACTAACGAGTCTGCATAAAAAGGAGTATCGCCTAAAAATAATAAAATTTTAAATTGACTATGTTTTTAAATCAAGGTCAGGGCAAATATGTTAAAAATTTATATAAAAGGTATAAAGAAGAGTCTAGGAGCACTTTTATTTGAAGTTTTTTTATTATTATTATTGCTATTAGAATGCAGGGAACAAAAGAAAGTACACTGACAAAAATATTCCCTCCCCCAAAAGCCTGCATTGCAAACTATATCCTTTCCCATCCCACATATCGCTACCAAGAGGTTGCCCACGGAAATTATGTCTTTTGTTCTGCCTCCCACTGTGCTTTCTAATTTACCCGATGGATGACACCCTCATAGATCCCCATCTTCGAGTGCTTCCAGAGCTTAGCGGGACTGAAGCTCTCGCCAGCCTGTGTCAGAGGCGCGCAAGCCTACCCTGCCTGCACTTGCCTAGGGCAAGCCAGTGTTGAAAAACAACCTTCATATTGTCTTACTGCACTCTTAAACCCTAATAAACTAATTAATAAACCTTGTCGACTGATAAATTATATTAGCTTGGGTGCCCATATTAACACGGGTAGGTGGCTTTTAAAGTCACAGCTCTTTCTCATCCAAAGCTTTGTAGGTTTTAATTTTAGGCTCCTTGTAGACATAAGGTAGAAGAAAGAAAGGTAGAATTAGGACGCTTACAAAAACAGCACACACGTTTACTGATGTTGATTCAAGTTAACTGACAACATTTGGAGTAGGCAAAAGGTTTGGATCGGTTATCAAGAAGCCACAACTTCTACGTAAGACCTTCTTCACTACCACTACCAAGCTATAAGCTTAATAGAGATGGAGAACAACTGAGTGGGCTTGGCTCTTTTTTCTCCGTTCTGGTGTGGTGTGTGCATGGGGAGAGATCATTCAGCAGACAAGTCAGCATTCTCATCAAATACTTGCAATCAGTTAATAAAAATGTTAAAAGCAGGATATATGAAAAAATGTATTAACAGACCCAATGCATAAAAGCCATTTAGCTTTCGAGAGGCATACGAAAACAAAAATGTTGCATTTAGCCTCTGTCATTTTATGGCAAAATAACAAATTAGTACATATCAATCTAAGTTAAATATTAAAATTGTTAGTGTTTTTTAAGTTGTCACACTACTATATTTGTGAAAAAAAAAATCATTCTCAGGGAAAGCACTGATTCCATGAGTATTTGCTGCTGCCGCCCTCTTTCCAAAACGTCCTCCTCTCAGTTGTCTTAGGTCTCATAAACAGTTTTAATTTAGGCCAGACTTTGAAATAACCCCTAAAAGTAGTTATAGGATTCATCCTCTACCATTTAAGCCTTTACCTAAATGCACAATCAGAAGCAGTACAATTTTCATTGGTACTGCATCTTCATTAAAAATAGAATGCTAAAAAGCTTTATGCTTTCTTTAACACATAAAATTATATAGTTTTAAAAGACTGTAGACAGAGTAACTGGTATGTAAAGGCAAAATAACACAGATACTTTCAACCAATGTGTATGATATGGAGAAACTAAATAAGATCATAAAGAGAAAACTAAATTCAAAATGTCCACAATGGCTTTTAAAAACAACTATTGTTAACTAGATCTTGAAATGAATATGGCTATTTTGGAATAGAAAGGATAATGCTGAAATTGTTTTAGGTGAGATATTGTCATATGAGGCTGAAAAGAAGAAATCTTCAATAAATAAAATATCACAAGATAATAATCGGGATAAGGGTTTCATCAAAGCTCAAAATTAGCCAATATCAAATACTCAGAATAACCATATTATTAAGAGACAGGCATTGATAAGATGTGGGAGTAGCACATCTGTCTTGAGTAGTATAATTATTTCCAGGTCAAATACAAGAACTAGGCTACCTATATCATTATCCACAAGACGCTGCTTGTTTTTTTCAGACACTTCATCAAATTAATTTGACATGAACCTCAAGTATTAGAAAAAAGTATGTGTAAACTAAGTCATTGAAGAAAACCATGTTGGCGCTGTTAGACAGTAAATACAGTTAAGGCTGGAATATGATGATGGTTGTAGAAAAACAAATGGAAAAATTACAGGGCATAACCAGGCCCTGTAATTATCAATATAAAGGTGAAGCAAATTTTAACATTTCAAACATACTGCATAGATGGAAAATCACATATCCATTTCAGAGGAGGAAAGACGATCAGATAAATACCATCTGAAAAAGCAGTGAAAAGGCTTCATTAAAAGCGCAAAGAACGAAGACAGAATTCAGCAGAAAGGGTATAGTGTTAATCACGTTTAGGTTTATGCCATGGTTAAAACTTTAACAGAAATAAAATTGTTATTTCGTTCCTATCAGAAAAAGAGCCTGACAAATCATAGTATTAATAAAAGCAAAGTTTTCAGACTGGAGTATGCACAAGAAAAAATGATGTTGAGGGCTAAAAGAAAAAACCCACAAAAACAGTAAAAATAACGTAGCTTGAAACATTACAACAAGACATACTTTGCACAGAAAAATATGTGAGACTTATAAAATACTAGCAACTTTCCAACACAAAACTCCAAACTTGAGGAAAAGGGGCTTATCTGGTACAGTTTTAAGTCGAGCAGCCCATACTGAAAGCTTGGAATAAAAAGCACAGTATTGCTGTGACATGTAGGTGGATTTTTGTCCTAATCAAGTAAAGGCTCCCTTATATAATCTAACTCTTACAAAAGTTATGCCTCCGTACATTTTTTTTTCTTTTTTCTTTTTAATTGGAGGGATAAAAGAGAGAACCCTCTCCTGTACAAGAAAAAAAATGAAGTTCTGAGAAAGCATTTTTGGACAGCTATGAACAGTATTTTCTTAAGCGAAGAATGTTATTTATTAGTAAAAGTGCTTATGAAAGACTATTAATTATAAAACATATTTTTTCTAAGTCAAACTGTGTCCATCACCACAGACAGAGATGTTTCAATAGCATCATAGATCCAAGCATCTTTCCTAGCTCAGGATGCCAGAAACATCAGATCTGCAATATTCGCAGAACATGCTGATTTGGATTTTGAACAATTATATGCTCAATTCCATCCTTGTGTAATCAGTATTTTGCTATTAGACTCTAATTCTGATCTTCAGTGTATTTTAAGCTGCAGATGACTCATCTCTTTAACAGATTATATTCTATGTCAGTTGCTATCGCAGTCCAGTGCATTTTACTGGAAAATCCTGACTCAGGCATAAAGAAGAAACAGGGCATAATTCCACAGTCATGTTAACTTAACAGAAGCCCCTGCTACTGCTGAAAAAAAAAGAGCAGTATTGTCCTTCCCACTCCTTTCCCATCCTGCATCCCTGACAACTCAATACTGCCCCTGAGATGGCACAAGCATTTATGAGACTATGAAGTAAACAGGAAGCTGACCCAAGCTAAAACTATTCTAAGAGTTAGTTTTAAGTTGAACAAAGTAAAGGAACTAAGCACTGTGCAAGCACACAAGCAGTTGTCATAGCATGAGAAGGCAAAGGAAGCAGGAGAGAAACAACATCATCAGCCAAAAGTCAGAAGCTATTAGATGCTGAGCTACAGCCAGGCCCCTTGTAGCAATGTACAGATAAAGCCACAGTAAAGACTACATGATAATCTTATTAGCAGAAAAAATTGCTACTCACCAACTAGCATCTCAAAAAGGAAGACCCCTACAGACCACCAGTCACATTCCCGTCCATAGTAACCATCCCCGCCTTGGGATTTCAGCACCTCGGGCGATATGTAGTCAGGGGTTCCAACCGCCGTATCGCAGCGCACCATACCTGTCTGGGCAAAAGCAAAAATTCAAATAGTTTCTTTAATTCAGAATACTGAGAACTCTTTAGCAATATTACAATTAGCCTATTAAGAGCCCAGAAAAACATACTAAGTATAACCCCAAGTTCTTGGTTTGAGGAATATTTTTGAAAGTCTCTACCTATTTTTGCTCCAGCAGCTATATGGACTGAAATGACAATTCCTGATAACCTGCACTCCTCTGCCTACTCCATAGCCCAAAGGTTCCAGAAATCTAAAGCCAAAAACATGCAAAATTGGATCTGGCACATAATTGGAACAATTATTTCATTTGTTCCAATTGTTCTGCTTGTGACTGTATCCTGAGCACCAATTTCCAGGTCCTCTCTGAAGTTTAAATCTCTCTTTGCTTTGTGTACTGGAGAAACTGCTGCAGGTCTGATTCTGCCAATAAACTACGATTGTGGCATCTCAATGAGGCAATAGTCTCCAGCACTGGCACATGTCTGTGCCTTCCTTATCCAAAGGTAAAATCATGAAAAAGGAAAGCCTGAGTCTTTGCTCAGTAGCAACTGGCTGAAGCCATCTGCATCCCTCCCCAGGTAAGATGCTTCTTTAAAACAAAGTCATCAAAATAGTTCTGAAAGATTTCTCTGAAGACCATAGCTTCAGTCACAAGACCTGTGTACTTTGATGAGTCTCAACACCTTCTCATCTAAGCAATTAATAACACGCCATTTCCCATTCCTCTATAATTAATACAACAAAATAAGATCACTTTTTAATATTTTATATATGTTAATATTTTATTAAGTCTTATGTAGATAAAGCGAAGATCGTGCCAAAGAAAAACCTGCCCTACTCAAGTGTGATGGCCAGCATTCAGCAAAAAGAAACCATTTTTCAATGAAGTTACAGATGATAAAGAATTCTAGGTAACAGCACCATAAGTTTTTGGACAACATGTCAAAGAATTGAATAATAAGACATACAAAAAAATTTTCTACAGGCAAAAGGGCCCTGTGTACTAACCGCAGTTTTCAAGGGACTGTATTTCTCCCAAGCAGCTGGAGTTGACTGCACCTTCTCCCCATAAAATTTTCTACCTCTTATCCTAAGGACAAATCTAAAAATGCATTATCACCTGGCTACAATATTCCCAGGTCACCATTCCTTTTGTTTACACATTGGTTCTTTCAAAAAACTTGGGGGTTGGTCGCTACACATTTTTAAGTACTGGATACTCTTAATACCGTAATCTGACTAGTTTCTATGATCTCCAACATCAAAGCCAAGGAATCAGAGAAGTCCTCTTTGGGCAGTACAGGACATCTTGACATTCTCTACATTCTGTGAGATGACTTCTGCATTCTGTATTTTCAACATCTGACGAGATCTAAAGGGTGCTGTTTCCTCCAGATAAAGTCTTAATTCTATGTTTTAAATATGATGCCTCTCTGTTTTATGCCCAAGTGGCACATTTACTATAGCAGTTCTGAAACAAAGGTCCTCCTCATAAGTCTAAAGCCTGCATATCACCTGAGACTTTTCTCATCACCTCAAAAGATCAAGACAGATCTTGGAACTACATCTTGAGGGAGGCTCTTGCAGCTGAGGCGGAGAGGTGCAGTGTAGAATTAAAAAAAAAAATGCTATCAGCCAGACAGTATGTCCTCAAAGCTTATGAAAACTTAGACTCATAGAGTTTAATACAGAAATATTATATTGCTGAAGACAAAGTAGTTCTATCTTCATCCTCAGGGGCACCTCAGCCAGACCTGAGGAACTTACTGTCTAGGAGCAAGGCTCTTGGATTAGAGTTTCACTCCTTCATGAAGATCTTTCTAGTAAACAAGAGCTGGAGAGTACTTGGCAATAAAGTTCAGATCAGGTGTCAGCACCACACTTGGGCTTGCACATGCTACAGGCAAGTAACTTGCAGTGAGAAGGATCCAGCAGAGTCTTGGATGATGTTTAATGAGAAATGAGTTGAGTTCTAGAAAGAGGAGTATCACAGAATCACAGAATCACAGAATCGTTTAGGTTGGAAGGGACCTCTGGAGATCATCTAGTCCAACCTCCCTGTTCAAGCAGGGTCACCTAGAGCATATTGCCCAGGATCACATCCAGACGGCTTTTGAATATCTCCAGCGAAGGAGACTCTCCAGCGAAGGAGTATGCTGCTTCTTTCTAAGAAAGTACCTTAGCTGAGGGGATATTACCAAAATGGTAAATGTTCTTTCTCTCGGTCACCTCTCTTCCCATCAGAGACCCTCTTCAACCTGTGCTTTGCTGAGAGCACAGGCCAGAGTTATGAGGCTGAACTAGGAGCTGGACAGCCCTAACAGTTCTTGTCTCTACAATACCTACAATAGTCAGCCATGCGACTGCCCAGTTTCTTACTCACAGAACCCAAAGGTTTGAGTCTGGTGAAACCTGCACTGGGGTAGCTTTTAATACCTAAATACCAAGCGAGAACTACAGCTCCTGCTAAGACTTTGAGGTCAGCTTCATTCTTTACTCAATCATATAGATACTGCAGATTAAAAAAAAACCAAACAAAAAACAAAACTAACCCACAACTGAGTTACATAAACGGGTCAGTTCTTTTGATATTGGAAAACATCACTGAAACATTTAGCAATTCTTTCCATATATTGGTTAGAAGGAATTCTACTGCAAGTGTCTGGATTGGTTTGGAAAACTTAAGAAAATACTGATTTCAATTCCACAACAAATATGTATACAAAAAACCTTACTTCTAAACTGCATCTCTTACCAATTGCAGCAAAATTTTCCTGGGCTCTCAACAGCATAAGAAAGATGCTAATGTGTACAACTGGTAAAGGAACACCACGTCAGAAAAAATAGCTGTTGGGTAAGCACGTATTTTCTAGAAATCATCCTGCCAACATCAATATTATATTTACACAGCTGGGATGTGTTCATGTTTTGTAAGAAGTAGCATGAGATTTGGAGACAATCCAGAACCCTTTCAACTTCTAAAGCTTCCTGTATAAAATATTTTTGCCATTCCATTGAGTCTGAGAAGCACAAAGAATTTAAAATCTAAACTGTTAAAAATTTAACTTCTTTTGGAGATCACTGATTCACTGATGATGCCCAGTTCAAACTGGGGCTTGCTATAACTCCTTATGAGAAATCTGCATATGCTTCTCACACTTACAACAAGATCAATCATATTTTATTATTCTGTTCCTTTAACAAGAAAAAAAAAACTTAGGTTTACCATTTCTAGGATCACTCAAACAGCATAATGGATCACCTTCTTTCTGGGAGATTTACGTTACGAGTTTTGTAAAGCTTTTTTTTTTACTGTCTCTTCTGATAAACATCATAATTGCTTAAGACCTGCTAAGAATTGGCAGTCTGTTGGCTCAATGGCAAGGCTAATTTTCTAAGGACTAAGTTAGGGGTTCACATTAAGAGATTAAATACTACTTTTGATTTTTCCAGTTACAGTTAATGCTGGCCCTTAAAATGCAGACAACTAAATAACTGAAGTGGAGGTCAACAGTCCATCTGCTTATGGAATAATGTCTCCAATACCAGCAAAACTAAACGGATTAGTGAACCTCAATAAACAGCTGCAGTTTTTCAATGAAGTTAATAATATACTGTCACACGAAAGGAAAAAAAAATACAAAACTCCAAACCAGTATTTCTAGATAAGCTGAAGCCACTTACATAATGATGCATATGCAAATTATGCAGACTGCAGAGATTCTACCAAACATTGCCTAAACAATGCGGAAAAAAATTCTAGCACATTAATGCAAACAAGCTTAAAAAGGATCATCCTTGCCAATGTTACTATAGACACCTTTCAAAGGCCAGGTCAATGATAACATGCACTTATACAAAGTTTGAGAATTTGTTATACTTTCACAGAAGGGAGAATATTACATAACAGCAGAACATATTGTTTCTCAGTGAAAGTAAAAAAAAAAAGCATGAACCACAAAAAATAGCTTTATATTTAACTCTCCTTTAACAATACAAGGCATTACATCTTGTTAAAAATAAAAAAAAAAGTATATTTGGTTGTACATGGTAAAAAGTAGAAAATTAAAATATACTGAGTAATAGTTAAGATAAATCTTAATCAATGTGCAACATGCCACTGCTGCCTTACTGTGACCTCACTGTAATGACCACTAGGGGATGCTATGAGAACAATTGGATATGGTAAAAAATCATAGGACATGTATTTTGCCTTTAAAATAATTTCATTTATAGAAAAATCTCAGCTTATGAACTGTTCCAGCGTACTAATGTTGAAAGTAGGAGTTGTCTCATAAGCTTTTCAGACATTTGGCCAAAAAAAAAAAAAAAAAAGACAGAAACCTCAGAAATTCATAAACACATATGCTCTCAAAAATAACAAAAAGTAAGTTTATTTCCTTCTTCTGTGTGCCAGAAGAGTTTAATATAAACAATATTACAATTTTTAAAGTACCCTTGTATTTAAAATTTGGAGACAAGAAACAGCTTTCCAACCAAGTAGACAATTTGATGAATCTTCCTTTGGGTGTTATAACTCACACAAAAATAAGCCTTAGAATTATAGTTTTATAGATGATAAATTAGTCTGTTGCATACTTACTTCATCCATTTTCATGCAAGTGCCAAAATCTGCCAGCTTTAGATGTCCATATTTATCTAAAAGCATATTATCAGGCTTCACATCTCTATGTATCAAGCCCATGGAGTGAATTGCATCAAGTGCAAGAACAACCTCGGCTGTATAGAACTTGGCCCATTTCTCAGGCACATCGTAATTGCTCATAAGGTTTACAAGATCTCCACCTGGCATGTATTCCATTACCATATACAAGTATCTGTCATCTTGAAAGGCACAAAAAAGCTGAAACAAAAGAAAAGAAAATGCAGCAATTATTTTTCAAAGACAGCTGGGAAAAATGATAAAGTACTTTATCTTGAAGCTTCATTACACCTGAATGCACATTTTCAAGCTGGATGTAAAGTAACTTTATTTTTTACAGTCAAATAAATCAGATTTACATTAATTTTGGCAATAACTTCAGATTCATTAAAGTTCAAAAATATTTTTTGTCCATTTTTAAGAAAGAAAAAAAAGATTTCCTAGTTACTTTAGTGGTATGAGCATCCCCTGAATATCCATGTTTCTTGGCACCAAAAAAATATCACTAAGAGTTATAATGCTAAATGTTAACTCTGAGAAGGGCGCATCCTGCAGTGGTCTGAAAATAGCTCAACAGTGAATAGCATCTCAGACTGTTTCTGAATTTCACATATACATCATGCCACATCTCTGTAAATATTTGTAACAACATTTGCCACTACTAAGTTCCTCCTAAATCAACAAGTACATTGAAATGAGAAAAAAAAAAATCCCTCACAATAAGAGTCATAAAACAATGTAAAGTATCTGTTTTTAACAATAAAATGTTTGGTACAGGTGGGAGCCAGTATGTTACCTCCTGACATGATAATGAAAGTTTAATCTCTTTAGTACGTATTTCCGAGCTAGAGCACTGAAGTTTAGAGGCTTTCAGTTATACGTCGCCAGGTCTGAAAACAGCCCAGAACAGCCGAGTACACCTGCTCAGTGTAAGTGTGAACTGGTGTGAAACAGGTCTCAAAGTCTCTCTCATTTTATTTCTAAGGGAATACTGCTCCATTAAACTAAAATAATACACATCTTCAAGTTACCCACACAAAATCAAAGGCAGTGAATAAAGAGGATGAGTGAAAGGGAGGAATCAAAAGCAAGGAGTCGTGAAGGGCCATGGAACATTATGGGGAATGAAAGGCAGGAAGACTATTAGGGAGACCGGGGCTTTGGAGTAAAATTTATTGCATATTATTGGATGTTTTTGTTTTCATAAATGAATAATACATACTATATAGATAATGTGATATTTGGTAATTAATATCTAAATTAAAAATTAAAATAGCCTCTATTCCCACATGTAAAGATATTAATATGATACAAAAATAACTGCAAACATTATGCCCATATTTATCACTTTCCACTATCACTTTCAGGGGATTTCATAAAACAACCTTATCTAGGACTCTGGTTTCATTTGTTTTTCATGCAAAAAAGAAAGTACAAAGTAGCTATGTGACCTGTTCCAGTTACTAGCTGAGAGCAGAACCTAAATCTTCTTAAAACCAGCTGAATGTCCTGTCCTTCGTAATACCTAAATATATCATGAATATGCTTCATCACTGAAGGCACAACTGCAACTATATTTTAAGTTGTTCAACATTTGCTATTTACAAATATACACACTCATTTATATAACGCTTGCTACACTTTCCCTTGAAAATTGAGTCACACATTTCTCATTACTTTCAGTTGCAGGATACTGTAAGTTCAACTGTGAAAAGTAAAAATACTTCAAGATAACATCGGTCATTAGAACACAAACTAGCAACTTAACAGAATAGATGATTTTTTATTATTTCTACCTACAGTGGGTAAGAATATAGAATATGCTCAGAATACCAAAACATGCACACAAAGAACAACGATTTTAAAACACTGCTTGCATATATGAAGTGAATTATTTTGAAAAAATGTGAGAAGCTTACGGTTGGTCTTTAGTTTTTAAATATACAGAGGCATGACAATATAATTGAGAGTGTTTAAACGTATTAAGTATTTAACAAAATAAAGTACTAACAATGTTAGTAAAACATATGTTTTGACCACATATTTTATTAATTGGTCTAATTTTCCCATTACAACAAATTGCACCATTTAACACTACTGCTTCCCAAAGGCATACTCCATATTACAAATACTATGATAGATAATGCACATCACGAGACAGTTGCAAGCAACTGTGCTAAGGTACAGCTGAAGGTGACTCTCCATCAGCTGGCGGGTACAACTCCTAGGCCGAGTTGCAGTAACTGAACACTTACTGAAGATGATTTAAGCCCATTAGTTTTAGATACATGCCTTGCAGGAGACTAGGAGTGTGCACTCACCCGTATCTCAGCTGAGAAGACAGGAATTTCTTAAGGTACACTAATATTAACTGCTTTTGATCTAGTGCTCATATCATCGGGAAAGACTGACGTTTAACAAATACTAGCAACATTTGTTTTACATTCCTACACGTGATTTTTTGTTAACTGGAACAGTAACTCATTCTGTTTCCCTGAAAATGTTACATTCCAAGTAATTACGTAGCTATTTCAAAATTCTGTTTAATTCTATTTTATGATGCATTTGAAATGATCAATATACAAGTTAATGTACCTTACAATGCAGCCAAACATAAATGAAGAACAATGAAACTCAGTAAAATTTCTGTAAATATACATCTTTAAAAGCAGGATCCAAATCTAACCTACTATATGAGTTTAGATGCATATTCAAAAACAACCGAAGACTGGGAAAGATCTACAGCTTTATGATTATTATACTACAATGCATACATACTTATCTTCCTTACCTGAACCACCCATGGACTATTGGCGAAGGCCATGATGTCTCTTTCTTCCCAGAAAAAGGCCGAATCTGATCGCTTGATCATTTCAAATTTACTAAGTAGCTTCATTGCATAAACCTTCTGTGTCATTTTATGGCGAACCTGTTGGTTGAAAAGGATCAAATCAACATTTAGAAAAACCCCAACAACATAGCATATTTCTTCTATTTGCAAACTGTCTTGTGGGATGTGATGACCTCAGGTCCAGATTTTACACAGTAAGAGCTTGAGAACTTCCAAACCTGGAATGAAAAACCTGACAGCTGCTCCAAAAAACATAGCAGGGTGGAATAAGAAAAATGCCCAATAAAGGAAGCTATGCCAGAGCCTGGCCAACTGCTGCAGCTGCTGCTGCAACCCAGGAGGAGGTGTTGCAGGGCCAAGAGACCACAGTGCCCAGTCGAGGCTGCAGAGCAATGTGGGCTTCTGTTTCACTGATGACACACTGATGTATAAGCATTATGAGTGGTGTCCACAGCAGTCAGATTACTCAAATTGAAGTTGCTAAAAAGAAATTCTCAGAAAAATCCCACCTTCCTATAAAGGATGGAAATGTTCTTAGTATTTTCTGAGTCACTCTGCTTACTTCAAATCACCCAGAACACAAAAAAAAAAAAAAACCAATGAAATAAGACTGTTTACAGAAGAAAAAGAAAATGCTCTTCTATTCCTCCATCAAAATCCTATCATCTAAAGAGAAATATAACTCAGTTTTATTTTCTTATGCTGAACACTATCTATCAGTAGATGCTCCTTCCATTCATTCAGCAACGTTATAAAATCTGCAGGCAGTCCATATCAGTCTCTTCCAATGCTTGCTTATGTATTTTCACAAAAATTGACTGCTCCTATTTCTTTCCTTATCTGATTCCTAAATTCATTTTGAATGGTATAAAATTAATAATCTGCATCTTGTGAGAAATCTGAAATTAAAACTTTTATCACAAAATCTGGAAAAAATTTGGAAAACTCTTCATCTGAATATGTACGTGAAAGGGAATCCGGAGAACACAGGCTCTAAAGACACTACCCTGTTAATAAAATAAGGCCGGATTTGTGGAGTACCTAAAGGACCAATGTTTTAAATTGGGCGTTCCTTGAAGAAATCAAGCTGAAAAGTTTTCAGCTATAACATGACTGAATCAGCAGAAAAAAGAAATTAACAGCATCTCAAGTGTCTGCATACTTCCTTCGTATGAACTTAAAAGAAATTCAGTGGCCTAATTTGTGAAATCAGAACCAAACGGTTAAGACTTTCTGGTGCACTCGAAGACATAACATTTAGTAAAAGAAACCACATCCCCTGACCTATTAGTTTATTCATTAGGCTACTTGAAAGAATACTTAACAGCATCCCCTCTTTGCCCAGCAGTGTACAGTGGATGTTCATCCTGTCTGCAGCACAAAGCTTCAGAAAAGCACCTTTTGTTTGCTCTACAACTATGGAAGCATCCATAGTAACTATGCGGAGCTGTAAGCGTTGATGTCCCTCAAGCCAACAGGCAGGACTTGGAGAAACAGGAAAAGCACTAGCGGCAAAAAAACGGTCCTGGAAGCAGTGAAATTACAAATAGAAACACTATCATCTATCAGTATGTTGTTCTTGAAACCGGGGCTTTTTGCTGTCAAGATACAGGTACAAACATTTTAGGATTAGCCTCTTGCATATGTTAACACTAGCCAACAACTTGCTTCACAACTAGATCACCTCCCCCACCAAACCCCAAAACAGAAACACATTATCTACATATGTTAATAACTCTAAAAGTGAGTGTACTTTAAGTCATTAAAAACTAACCCGCTAGTGAAGGTATCCTATTAAAAGATTATTTTGAGAACTAACTGCCTCCCATTTACTAATCCCAGATGGGATTATTTACAAAAAAGTGCTGGAGCACCACAAGCCATAGTCTGCAAAGCGGCGCTTTTGTAATCCTTCTGCTCAAAACCAGAAGAAACACAAGGTCCATCAACCTCGAAGAAAACACTTTAATTTAATTAAAGCAGTGTTTTCTGGGAAACAGTATGTATAAATCTCTCTAAGGTATTTCAGTAGTTTATGTTTCCTCAGATCACAGTGTGCTCTTGCCTGGGTGTGGTTGGTATAGCCGACTTCATGGAAGAGAATAATTGTTTCCTGCTACCAGACAAAAAAAGGCATCCAACAGTCAGCACAGCTTGAAACATGGTCCTGTGCAGGAAGAACCAAATAAATAACGGAGGGCAGAAATCACAATCTGAGCACCTGCCTAAGGCCGTGCTGGTAGGTTATTAGTTGGTTAAAGTATTTCTTGAGACTGTTTCAAGACAGATCCTTTCTCTCCACAAAAATCAAAGAGCTGAAGCAGGAACTAGTGAACGGGCACATCCGCAGGCTGGCCGCATCCTGGCATGCCTTGCAGGTGAACAGACTTCGCGACGGCATTACTTCTTATATCACTACCATGGCCCCTCAAGACAGGCTATTTAGATGTTTAGGCCAGTGTGCTCTTTACCCAAAGCTATATTTGCACATATACATATACACTAGCTCATATAGCAAATTATCCTGGTGTTAAACTGTCGTGATATTTCAGTTTCTTCCAGCTGTTTACATGAATGCCACATTTAAACTCCAAGTTCACATTACCAGAGTCACTCTCAAAATAGGTAGGAAAATCCTGTCATGCCATTATTATAGAGTAACATGGCCTGGTTTAATCCATGAAAATGCATGAAGAAAGAATTTCTGTCTAACCTGCCTCTCACCAATGAAAGGTAAAATAACAGCAATGGTAAGACTTTCAAGACACAAGTATGCACGAAATGAATCCATAACTTCGAGAGCATTCATACCAAGAGACGATCTGTAGGTAAAGAAAACCACCAAACTGTTTCAAGTTATCATGATGATTAACTACACAGTATTAAAATCGATACCATTTTAAGAAAGAAAATGAAGATCCTAGACTGAAGTTTTGAAATTAAGCATAAAGCTTTGAAATAATTGTAAATATCCCAAAATACTGAACAGAGCCATAGGAAATCATTACAGAAATGGTATCGCACTTAACATCCTGGAAAAATTTCCAGCTAATAGACCACTACAGCTTTATACGCACTACTCCTAAAGCGCACATCAGCTGTGGCTGCCAAACTAAACCTGATATACAAAACACTTAATGGCAGAAACTAAACCTGCCTACACACACCATGGTAACCACTGCTTTGCAACACCACCAAATCACACAGCACAGACTGTCACGCAGAACATCCCTCGCCACCCAAACGCAAGGAGAAGAGCTAGCCTTTCTTCAGCGTGCCGCTCGGCAGGCATACAAGCAAATCAGCGCGCAGCGTCGTTGGGCATTTTGTGATTAGACCTGGGAGAAGGAACTGAGGATACGTTTCAGTTTCAAATCAAGAGGCTTTTTCCTTAAGTAAAAGCAAAGACTAATCCAGGGCGTGCTTTCTTAAACCACTGTTTCTGCATAAACCACTAAAGCATTAAGCGCTGTAACTCAATTTTTCTGTCTGCCCTAGACCCCCGTCACTTTTATTCACTCCACTGCATTAGAGAAGAAGTGATCCAGCAGCTGGCGACCTCGTAGCTTTGCCCACCGCTACACATCCAGCAAAGCCGAAGGCCAGATTGCAAGAGCAGAGTTTAATACTTCTGCAGTTACAGAAAACTGTTTTTTTACCAAGTTCAATGCTCAGACCAAAATCATCTGACCTGTCTTTACTGGACAGAATTTGCGGGGGAAAAGAGGCAAGCTTTTTTAAATCTAGCTATAAGACAGAGCAGTGGTGAACGCGTTTTTCGTTCTAGCTACGATCTGGGAAGCTGATCTCTCCACACCACTTCTTTCACAGGAAACTGCCACCTGGGAGCACAGAGTTTGGAATTTTTTTCTTTTCTTGGAAGGAAGGAAGGGACAGGTTGAATATTTTGCACGATATGCTAACACACTCATTTTTTGGCTTATTTTTGCGTAACAGATATTTAACAATGCACAATTGCATGCGCTGAGAAAAGAACGTGCAATTCATGAATTTAGCTCATATATTCAAGCGTATTTCATTTATGGTTCTTTCTGTGTTTAGCCCAAACCGGAGCAAATTTCTATTTTGATCACAGAACATGTTGCAAAATATTTTGATTACTGCAAATCCATCATCTGCAACTGTGGTGGCAACACACTGAATGGCACAGAAATAGATACAGCTTTAGCTCAATAGTTCAAACTTGTATCATACCTTGTGAGGCAAAAAAATCTAGGTATGTATGCCCTCGTCACTAGCTAATATTAGTACAGATCTACAGATGTGTTTATTAACCCATTGCTTTTTAGGAGTAAGAGAATATATTTTG